TGAAGTCTCCAACTTATTTGTAAATTTGACTATTTCTCCTTTCAGTTCTATCAGTTTTGCTTTACATATTTAACAGTTCTGTTGCTTGCTCTATACATATTTAGGATTGCTATGTCTTCTAAGTGGATTGATCACTTTATTATTATATAGTAATTTTCCCTGTCTCTGATAACTTTATTTGGTCAGAAGCCTATTTTATCTGGTATTATTATAACCATTCTTGTTTTTCCTTTGATTGATGTTTGCATGATAAATCTTCTTTTTTTACTTTCAACCTGCTTATATTATTATATATGAAATGAATTTCTTATAGACAATATATAATTGATTTGTGTTTTTAATCCATTCTGCCAATGTCTGGCTTTTAATTGGTTTATTTAGACCATAAGAATAAACTCCTGCAGAGGAATCTGCTGTCTAATTCGGAGATAAAGATTGTAGAAATCATGTTTTATTATGCAGAGGAATCTGCTGTCTAATTCGGAGATAAAGATTGTAGAAATCATGTTTTATTATCTACCTCTTTCTAGTCTCAACTATTGGCACTAGACACTAGGATTAGAAACCTTAAAAACATCTTAGATTCCTCTCTCTTACTCGCCTTCCAATAATAACTAACATTTATGGAGCACTCACTATGTATGAGGCACTCCCCTAATCATTTCACGTGCATTAACTCATTTAATTGTTATATTTTGCAAATGAGACAACTGAGGCTTAGAGAAGTAAGGATTATAGAGATAGTGACTCAGGTGTATGCGACTCCACAGCAGTACCACCCTACGACCCTCCCCAGTCTCAATAGTTTTGCCTTTGCAATACTTCTATAGCCCATCCCACGTTTGCCATTTTTGCTACCTATGGAAGTTCAGATCTTGTTTTTTCTCTCCATGTATGATTTTAAAAACCTTCTATTGGTGCTCTCTTCCTTCACACTCTCCTTTCTCCAATTCATCTTAGACCCTCAGTGGCATCATGGAAAGGATTTGGAATGTGAGCTGAATTTAGATCATAGTTAAAACTTTACCTTCCTGTATTACCTGGGCAAGTTAGTTAATCTCTCCATATTTAAATTTATTTGTCTGCAAAATGCAAATAATTTTACCACCCATGTGATAATATTATATATTTCACTTGTAGTAGATTTCACATGTAATATGATTTGGCAGTGTCCCCACCCAAATCTCATCTTGAACTGTAGTTCCCATAATCCCCACATGTCATGGCAGGAACCCGGTAGGAGGTAATTGAATCGTGGGGACTGTTACCCCCATGCTGCTGTTCTCGTGATAGTGAGTGGATTCTCATGAGATCTGATGATTTTTATAAGGGGCTTTTCCCCTTTGTGCTCACCACTCCTTGCTGTCACTATGTGAAGAGGGATGTGCTTGTGTCCTCTTCTGCCATGATTGCAAGTTTCCTGAGGCCTCCCCAGTCACACTGAACTGTGAGTCAATCAAATCTCTTTCCTTTATAAATTACCTAGCCTCAGGTGTGTCTTTATTAGCAGCATGAGAACAGACTAATACAATATGTAAAATGCCAAGTGCAGTGCCAGCACATACTAGACACTTAATATATATTCATTACCTTCCCTTATTACCTCCCTATGACTCAATTATATCATCTAC